CAGATGCCAGGGTAGGCACATATCAATTTAAAATACAAAGAATCACTAAGATCATGCCAATGTGTGCCTGGGGTGGGGTGGGGGTAGGAAAGGAAATAGAAACAGGATGGAAATGAAAGACTTCCTAATTAAAATATTTTCCAGGACTTGCCATCTGGTTCTTCCATAAATGATCATTGCAAGAAGGGTACCAGACATGGTGTCATCTCTGGTGACATGAGTTGGACTTGCCTTTTGAGGAGAGGCAAAAATAGTTACTACAGCCAGTGTGGAAAGAGTTTGAGGTTGAGGAGTCACAGGGACATGTACCCTGGGACTTAAGAAGGGATGTGTGAAACTTTTGATTTTTAAAAAGCCTCTCCAAATCCCTTATCTATGGCAGATAAAGTGGCTCCTAGATACACTAATATGTAATGAAACAGTATGGCAGGAGTGGCTGTTAGAGCCTGACAGACCTGGGCCTGCTTCTGTGTCTGTTTCATTTCTGTGTCGCTTTGGGTGAGCAGCTTTATCCTCTGCAGACTGCAGTGCCAGTGACTCTGGGACACAGAATGTAATATATGCCATTCTGGCATGGGTGAGAAGTGATGGAAATGGGAAATGGGCCATTGGGAGGTAGTTGTGCCATGGGTGGGAGAAAAGAGGCCCAAGAGAGAGCCCTTGCCCTCTCTGTCATGTGAGGTTAAAGTGAGGGATGCCTGTCAAGAATCTTCCAGCACCTTGGTCTTGGACTTTTTCATCCCCAGAAGCATGAGAAATAACTTTTTGTTGTTTATAAGTCACCAATATATAGTATGTCGTTACAGAAGACTGTCTTACTTGGGATTTCTATTGCTGTGAGGAGACTCCATGACCACAGCAGCTCTTATAAGGAAAACATTTAACTGGGGGTGACTCACAGTTTCAGAGGTGCAATCCATTATCATCATGACGGGGAGTATGTGGTGTGCAGGCAGACGTGATGCTGGAGAAGTACCTGAGAGTTCTACATCTTGCAGGCAAAAGAAAGCAAACTCTGTCACACTGAATGAAGCTGGAGCAAGAGACCTCAAAGCCCACCCCCTCAGGGACACACTTCCTCCAACAAGACCACACCTATTCAACAAAGCCACACCTCCTAATAGTGCCACTCCCTTCAGGGGTCATTTTCTTTGAAACCACCACAAAGACCAAAGAAAGTAGCTAGCTACAAATCACCATCATTATCAGTTATATCAATTCCATATCAAACTCACTTGGTTCCTTGTAATGGGGAAAGAAGCTAAACTATAGTCCTGAAAGAGTGTGGTGCCCAGTGGACAGGATAGATGGGATATCCTGCAGCATTCTGAAGCGTGCTTGGTAGGGTGTGAGTAAGAGTGCTCAGTGCTTATTCTTGCATTTCTGACCTCTGCTGCGGATATTTTCTTGTCCCACCATATCCGGTGCCTGCTTCAACCCTAAATAAACACACAGATGCTGTATTAATTATTAAACTGTTGGCCAATGGCTAGGGCTTCTTATTAGCTACCTTATGAGCTGTCTTAATTATTAACCCATTTCTATTAATCTATGTATTTCCACATGGTCTTATCTTACCAAAGAATGCCTGGTACATAGTTTCTTCCTGCTCTCCACATGGCGACTGACTCTCTGCCTACCTTTCCCAGAATTCTCCTCCTCTCTTAGTCCTGCCTATCCTTCCTGCTTCATTTGGCCACAGTGTTTTATATATCAACCAGTAAGAGAAACATAAATACAGAAGGACATCCCCTATCAGACCTCCCAGTTTGTGTCTTTTATTCTGTGCCCTTGTCTTCGATTCCTTCACCTCTTTACAGTCGTTTACCATGCCCCAGCCCTGCTTTATCTCTCTTTTTGTTTTAATTCAAGAATTCCCATCATTTCCCAAATATAACCATTCTATCCTATTGATGGGGAGCTCTCAAGACACATCCCATTTTAATCCTTCCATGTGAACATGCAGCAAGGCACAACCAAATTGGACTCAAGAATTCCAGAGAGTTCCAATGTAACATCTAAGGACACCAACAGGGGACACCACCCCCTGAGGAAATAGATGAGAACTGGGTGGCACAATATCACTCCTTTGGATTGAAACTGAATGAAATGTTTTCTAGGAATACTTAGGGAACAAACCTAGAGCATGTGAAGCCAGAGGAGGCAATACCTGTAGGGCAGTTGATCCTTCCTCTAGACACAGGAAGCACAGGCTGAACACACTGTTTAGATGATGTCTACCAGTCATCAGAAAGAGCATTGCCTGCGTGGAGAGATCAGTTTCAGCCCTCACTAGCTATGTGGCTTGAAGCAAATTACTCCATATTTCCTGTTCTTTCTTTGTTTTCCCTATAGGAGGGCCCAGCTGCCTGCTTCAGAAAGTTGGGAAGAGAGTGCTCTGATACTCTTACACACTGCATCCTTCCTCTCTAGCCTTGTTAAGATTCTAGAATTTTTCCTTTTCTCTTCAGATAGAACTGGAGAGAAGAAACTATCACCTTTAGCTGAGACGGTGGTGCCATTTAAATTATATGTCATTTCTGTCTATACTGTATGAATCCTGACATGGTGGCAGGAAAATAAGAAGCTAGCAAATAATCCTTTCAAAACAGTGCAACCATGGACTTCATAGAAATTACAGAGAATAATTTAGTTTGGAAGTACTAATAATATTACTATATTATTATAGGTGGTACATGCCTGTAATCCCAGCACTTCGGAGGTGGAAGCAGGAAGACCAAGAGTTTAAGGTCATCCTGAGCTCAAGGCCAGCTAAGGCTATCTGAGACCTTGTCTCAAAAATAACTCGCATGTATACATAGAGGTGTGTGTGTGTGTGTGTGAGAGAGAGAGAGAGAAAGAGAGAGAGAGAGAGAGAGAGAGAGAGAGAGAGAGAGAGAAATGTGTGTACTTATGTCTGTGACTATGCAATACTAAAACAATATATCACATCTTCCAGATTCTTGTGCTTGCAAAGTACTTTTACACAGGTTATCCCATCTGACCTGTAAAAGATAGACATTCATTTTGCTTTATTAGAAATAAATCCACTGAGGTTCAGAGATTTGCTGTGAGTCACACTTAATGTATGGTTTCTCCGAAACTCAAGCCTATATCTCCTAATCCCAAATCCACTGCTGACTCTCACATGCCAAATAATTCCTCTGCTCCTAGAGTCTTACTTGTCAGACAGGAAGCATAAAACGATGCAAATGGCTACCTACTATAGGTATGTATGATCCATATATATGATGATTTCATTGTTTTGTTGCATGAACAAATTTCTTCAAGGCTTCAAATGTATAGAGACATTCCAAGAGAAGCTAATAGTTATTGAGGGCTTATTGCCATGTACTTTTCACTTACCCCCTACATAAATAACAAACTCTTATTAGCTCACCTTAGAGCATTATTCATTATTAGCTAGTCTTTATAATTCCTTCCACTGCGTGGAAGGAAGACTCAGAGAAATGTTTTTCTGTCACCAAAATTCATATTTTCAATCACAGTACTATTTACATCTAATAATAGCCATTTGTTTCTCTGTACCTCACTCCCTACTTACCCAGAACCAAAGTCCTTTAGTAGGCCTCCTAATATCTAATGGTTTCTCATGGAGGTCTCCTGCATGCGCCTTTCAAGCCAGTCCTACCATCAGTTCCCAAGTATCATCCATTTCTCTGCACTTCTTGTATTTCAGCTTACACAACCTAGAATTGTGTTATCCGTCACCCCTACAATAAGTTCACAAATACAAAAACACAAAAAGAAAGGTCCTGGGCCCACCACTACCATCATCTGGATTTCCTCATCCTTCCTTTAACTAGAATGTTGGACATTTGAACTTCTAATTTTAAAGAGATGAAGGAGCTGTGAAATTTCTCATCTGATATCTTTTTAGCCTTGCCTGCTTGGGCTGTGTGTAGTACAAAGCTGTCAAGTCTAGGAATCACATGTTGCTTAACTTCAGTGTCCTCTACTTTACAGGGTTGTGTTGTGTTATGTTGTGTTAGATGAAACAACAGTATCTTAAGCACCTGATGCAGTGTCTGGCTCTTCCAGAAGCTAAAACAAAATAGTGGGTCCTTCTCACCTAAATCCCCCATCTTATTGAAGGCATATTGAAAGCTCCTCCCATTATGGGCAGCTTACCTCTCTCCAAACTATTGAATGATTATAATATCAAAGAAAGTTCTTTTGTAGTAGTATGAACATTGCATACATCTTGGTCTATCCTTAAACATGATATGAAAAAACAAAACAAAAAACCCCTGAAATGAGAAGTGGGAAAAAAAACCTCTGAGATGATAGAAAAGTTCACATTAGAATCCCAACCAGCCATGGTGACAATCTCCAAAGGTTCTAATAAACCAGCCAGGATTCGCACTGCTTCCTCACCTGGTGGGAGGCTGCGGAGCAATAGGCAGAAGTTTCCTTATGGTCCAAGCCAGTGTACCAAGGGGTACACAGACTCTAGCCAGCCCCCTAGGTTCCTCCTCTCAGTCACTTGAGCAACACTTCAATTTTGGAGGCAGCACATTCAGACTTTGACCTGGAAGGTGAGGCCACCAGACCATGAGAAGCCCTGAGGAGCCATAGTCTTCAAAGAAGAGCTTCACGAAGAGTTTTAGATTATTTGCAACTGTTACACATACACAGAGAAAGGAGCTTGAAAGTCTGTTTGCAGGAGGTTTCATTGATAAACCATGTAGCGTCCTTCAGAGCAGACTCCAAATCACAGCTATAGTTAGGAGAATTTAGGATTAAACAATAGAATGAACAGTAAAAAGTGAGGAAACTGATTTCATTTGAACATAGACACACCCCCCCCCCACACACACACACAGACACACACAGGCATCTGTCCCTTGTAGACTATTCTCCACCAATCAGTTTGTTTTTGTGACTCTGAACAGAGTCCAGTTCTCCAGCAAACATAGTCCTCCAGCCGGCCCCGAGACGCCCCCTGGGTGCTAAAGGTGTGTTATTTCCTTCCACAGGCTGCTGGTGAAACCGTGGGGGCTGAGTCATGTCTGCCTACAGCTGCTGAGGCACTGAGGTCTAAAACCCGGGCAAAGACCAGCCCTGCTCCCTTGGAGGAAATGGCCGAGCAGCCTCAGCAACAGCACATGAAAACTTCCTTCCTCTTCATCCAGCTGCAGCCCCCCCCTACCAGAGCTACTCTAACTCTCCCCGCCCCTTCTCCAGCCACTGCAGCCTCAAGAGCAGCCCCAGGGGGCCTGGAGGAGGGACACATTTTCCCAAGTTCCAGGACAGGCTTCTTGGCTTGCTGGGATCTCAGATATACACAGGATTTAGCTACTACTCCTTTGAGCCTGCTGCCTGCCGAAAGCCCTGGAACACAGACACCAGCTGTTTTCAATTGCTATTCACTGAAGGAAAAGAAGGAAGAAACAGAAAAACTTCAGAATCTGGATGTAAGGAGGGGTGGTGTTTGTAGATCCCCACATAGTAGGCGTTGCCTGGCCCCGGCCTCTAGGAAACTTGGCCAACCACAAGGACTGCCATGCAGGCTTGCTAGCCCAACTCCTACAATGAATGATGGAAACAGCAGTCCTTCCATGGGCTGGAAGCACTGGCCAGTCATTTCTGCCCATAAGGACCTGCGGGGTATGGACCCACAAGCCAGGAATGCCATCGAACTCTCAGGTCCACAAAGTACCCCGTCCTATAGTGCTGACAGCGGTAAATGGGCAATCCAGAGGAGAGGGACTGCTACCCAAGAGGTACTTCGGAAGAATTGTGAAGAAGAAACAGGTACCACAGTGCTGGCAACAAGGGCACGACTCTTCAGATACTGCCCAATGATTCGGATCAGCCAGAGCTGCCCAGCCCCACCTGCTGCTGTGCCTCTCAAGGTAAGGAACTGAACATACTGCAACCCTCTAGACTCCAGCCAATGCACGGCAGGGGGAACAGAGACAGGGCACAGATGTCTAAGTTCCGACCGTGGGTCACCCTCTCCTGTAGGTGACACATACCTCAGTAGCAGAGGTATCCACCAGCTGCAGTACTCCTTGGGCTCTTTGGCAGACTCTGCTACCTTCCCACCATTGCTAACACCCTGTCCTAAAGGACACAATGAACACCGTTTTCTCAAGATTTCTGCCAAGGAGAAGTTGAGTAAGGAAGGGCATGCTTTATAAGAGAAAGCCAGAGAGAAGCACAAGGAAGTCCACACACATGGGATGGGGCAGTAGCCAGCCTTATATTAGTTTTGTCGCCTCTGTTAACACTCATAACCATTCTGAAAAAGTGAGGCTTGTATTTCCAGCTTCCGAAAAGAGAATTAAGGTGTGGTTAAGACAAAATCCTCTCCCTTCTTTAAAAAAAAAATAAGAATAAACGTAAAACCAGTTTTCAAGGATAGCATTGAGGAGGGCTTCAGTAGGAGTGGCATTTTTTGGAACTGAAGCATAGCCTTAGAACACTTGATCTCCTTGAACACATGGCATTTAGAGCCCACATTTGCCTGCCATCTCTACTGGTCACCAAGTGGATGAGCAGTCCTAGACATGAGCCTCTGACTCCATCGGGAATGGGGAGGTGACCCCATGTAATATCCATGATTTCTTTGGGATTTTCTAGACGCTTCCTCTGATTGTAGACGTGGTATCATGTATTACCATCCTGTTCTCTGCATCTCTGGACCACCCTTCCCAACATGCTAGCTCCTGGGGTCCACCCCCTCCTTCCAGTTTAGGTGTACCACTCTCAAGACAGGTAAATAAAATTTAAAATAGCTGTTTTGTTTACCCCTTCTGAGCAGCATGGGTATGTTGTTATACTGAACATTTGTTCACTAAGGGATGGGTAAAACTGAGTCTCTATGTAAGAACAAGTAGAGAGAAGAAAGGTGTGATGTATGGAGAAGGATGACATAAAGGAACTGCCAGGGAAGCTGCAAGAGAATGAGATGAAATCACAGCAGCCTTCTGAGGGCTTGGAGGTGATCTGCTTCACCAGTATCCTGTGCCTGTCTCCTGCACATGTCCACACACCACCTCGCCTTCTCTTTGCCCTTTTACACAGAGGGCCTGCAGAGCCACAGTTAAGGATGAGTCCAAGTTCTCTCTGGAGAGAAGCAATGTGAGTGAGCGTACTTCCTTAAGAAATAATTCACATTCCATCGAGTTTTTGTATCCTTCTTCCTGCAGGGATTTAGGAGGCATGACTGACATTTGTGCATCTGAGCCCAGGTATATGCATGCAGGTCACACAGTAGTTATCTATGGACTTTGATGCTATTCGTTTCTGATCTTCCCTCTGGTCTTTGGAACATAGGCTGAAGCTTTAGACCCGTGGCCCATTCTCTGGGAAAAGTCTTTGGAAGTTGGCCCAAGAATGTGAATCTCAGTACTAGAAGCTTTATTTTAGCTTCCTAAGTGAATGGACTGCCCCTTCCCATATGTGTCTTGCCGAAAAGGTTACAGAGTTCCTAGGGGGAAAATGGATGTCCCGAGTTTAAGTCCTAACCTTAAACAAGCCACCAGAACTGAGTGTGAGTCTCCCCATCTTGAAAATATCAGTATCCCTTGCTTTGCATTTGCTGCACATAGACCTTTGTGTTCTTGGGTATAAGTTGAAAGTGAACCTCAGTTCCTCTGCCTTCTGTTTTAAAATCATGTGGTCCTGAGGATTGAACCAAAGGTCTTTCACTGAGTTATTTCCATAGCAATACATCTGTCTTGAGGGGGAGAAGAAGGGAATCAAGACCAATGTGACACTAGGAGGACCAGAGAAGCCATAAAGTCTGAGGTGAAGCATAGGACTTCCAGAATCTAGTCAGAGAATATAGTTACAGAAGCTTACCCTCAGCCAGAGGCAATTCTTCTGCCATAGGGAGACAGGAATTATGAAATCTATTCCCTTGGATCTACAAATCTTTTAAATGCTTTATAAGTGTCAAGTCAGGTGATCTGGCCTCTTGCTATGGTTTTTTTGTTTGTGTTTTGTTTTTGTTGTTGTTGTTTTGAAAAAAACAACAAAGATAGTTTTTCTGTCTGTCCATCCTGGGTAGCTTGAAGTATCCCTTCATACTCCCAGTTTGAAAGAGTCTGAGAATTGTCCAGTATTTTCCTGTTTTGGAATTTATCTATATGAACCTAAAAAGACTGATTAAAACATTTTCTTATTCAATCAACTACAAAAGGTAAGACACTTGATGGCTCACAGTGGGATCAACAACAGATGTAATAAAGAAATGTACTGTCAGTTATATTTAGAGTGAAATGTTGATTAGATGTAGTAAAGTCTGCTCCCTCCTATGTACATGCTGTGGAGTTGAGGTCCTTGTGTCTACTTTCCCAGAAAAAAAATCAGTGTCAAAAATAAACCTTCTTTGAAGTAGTACAAATGGCCAAATATATTTTCTTGGTGTTTAAGCCCCAGGTTTCAGAGTGAAAGTCATTGGCTTGCATCTTCTGTAAAGATGCAAGGAGGATGGATGGATGTGAGAAAGATGGAAGGATGTAAAGATGTAAATAAGGATATAAGAAGGATATAAGGAGGATGTAAAGATGTAAGTAAGTATGCAAGGAGTGAGTGCAGTGACTCAAACCTCCTGGTTCTTCATTTGCAGGATGATTGGGCATCAGTAAAAAGAGCATAGCTCTGGTTCTCATGGAATCTGTGACCTATACATCTCACAGGTGCTATTTTCCCTTCTATGAGGATGTATAGACATCATTCCCAAATCCCAGATGAGAGGAGGTATTTAAAGATGGGCATCAACTTGCTGGGATTGGAAACTAAGACATGGTATCTTAGGACTGACTGTCAAATCATCTACCCAGAGCCCAGGGCTCCCTCAACCTTCCTTTATGACATCAACCGCTGGGGAGGCTCCCTTGAAAGGTAACCTGATGTGTCCTGGAGCTTTTGGTTGACACTGTCTGATTTCCATAGTGAGGAGAGTGGGTGAAGGAGCAAGGACCATCAGAGCTAACCGAGGCAGGTCACTCAGCACCACCAGCTTTCTAGGTAGGGAGGAGGTGGGGCTGTTGGCTCCCAGTGCCATCTACAGAGGCCCCAACTAGACTGTCAGAGTAAATTAGAAAACTTCCAGGGTCTGGGCCAGAGCCTGCCCTCACCTTACCTTCTACTCCATGTTATGCTGCCCCTTTATGGGAGCACAAGGAACTGTCTACATAACCCCCAAGTTTGGGGCTAAAGATACCAAAAGAAGGGAAAGGGACAGGATTCTAAGGAGGGTACCAGGAAACCAACAGCTCAATAATAGTTTCTAGATTTTACAAATATTAAAAATGTAAGCCTTCACATCTTACATGCTGTACATCTTAAGTAGCAGTGACTGTATGTAAACATATTAAAAAGCTAGCAGTCAATTTATTTCAAATTTCTGTTCTCAAAATACCATTTACAAGCCCCATAAAATGTTCATGGTTCAAATTTCTCAAAACCCATACACTCTGGGTTTTTGTCTGCTTGTTTGTTTTTGTCTTTCTTCCCTTCCTCTCTCACGCTTGGAACTCAATTCCAATCAGCTTTCTGAGTTTTCCTCACCAGCTTCTAGGAGTGTTCATGGGTTAGGAAACAGCACGTGGATGAGTAAGACAGACATGGACACAACAGAGGATGTTTAACCAGCACATTCCAATGATGGAAACAGAAGGCAGGGGATTTTCTGATAGTCAGAGACTATCGTAGTAGTCTCCTGCTGTCGTAGGAGACTACAGGAAATAGTTCTAACTTGCTGTTTTGTATCATTATCCCTTGGACCAAAACCAATGTTTCAACTCTAAGTCTGTAAAGTACATTAGATTTCTGGTAGAAAGTTTTTGTTTAGAGAAAAGCTCCTGTGTGCTGGGATCCAAGAGATAAGAAGAGGAAGAGGAAGAAGAAAAAACTAAAATTTAAAAGCTCTGGTTCTGCCAATAAACTAGCCTGAGTCCTTGAGTGAAGCTAGCTCATCTCCGGTGCTCTCACAGGGCTTTCCAATTCTGTGGTAACAATGAATCCACGATCTGGGAAGGAGAGAAAATGTTTTATGAGGTAGAGACCAACACAATTTCAGTGCATCTGTTATACCTCACATGTTTCTAAAGATGCGTTATCTAGTTGGTTAACTCCATTGTGAAAGGTTCCCTACAAATGGGGCAGGCCTTTCTTGGGAGCTCCAGAGTGGAACTAAGAGTTCAAAGTCTGTCACCAATTCCTGTCACAGAAAGTTAGGCTCTGTGGTACCAGCTGTCAGATTTTACATAGATATTTCTGTTTCTGACCAGATCCTGGCTTGAATGAAATTCCCTTTGAAGACCAACCCCTGAGTCTTGGACTAGTTAACCCCCCAGGAAACTGTCATTTCCCTTCTCTGGGAAGGATTCCTTCCTTCCTCAAGCTTGTTTCACTTTTCTGGCCTGTCATAACTTTAGAAACTATTATACTCATGAAATGGTATCCTAGATAACTCTATTTTAATCTACTTTGGTGATTAATGCTGAATTTTAAGAAGGAATTTGAACAAAGAGAAAGCATGCACAAGTGCTCATATTGAAATTTTAACAGTGACAGAGCTAAATGTGCAATGGAGCATCCCGTTTAGGAGATTCTGCTGTTTAGAAGACAGTGTTGATTGGATTGCAAGGTTTATTTTTAGTCTATTTCATGCTACACTGGTTTTGACAAAGATGTCTTGATTTATTACTAGAATAAGTAATGGTTGAAATAGTAGAATGGTTTTCAACTTAGTATCTCCATGACAACATATTCTCTTCCTCCCTTCCTTTGACATTCACACGAAGTCCTGTGGATGATTGTACAGATGCTACTGTCTGTCAGGTACTTACATAAACCTCCATATTTCAGGCCACTTAAAGGGAAAAAGGGAGCAAAATTCATGGGCTGCCTTATAGTTGTGTGCCCCCTATGATGTAAAGAAAAGCAACCAGACAAGGAGCTGAGACCTTGGGGGTTCTGGCTTTTCTTCCGATTCAAGTAGTAAAGGGAAGGTGAATGTCTTCATTCTGGGTCTGAACTCCATGTTTATTATGTGGAAGGATTAGGCTGTTGGATCTGGTTCCTTCTCTTCTAACTCCACTGATCTGGGACCACTACTGTCAATTCCCTTGGGCCTGTATTGATGAAGTGGCAACTAGAGCTGTAGCTTTCGATGGCACATCTCCAAATACCCATGTATTGAGAAGCTTCTCTGTGTTAGATACTTCCTTTATTTGTAAATTTGATGTCTCTCCAGTCTACATTAAGAATAAAAAGCAGATATGGGCAGTTAGCTCAATGAATGTCCCATAATTTATACAAATATATCACCTGAGCCTTGCAGATATTAAGACCTCCAGGCAGATTATTTTAAAAGCATGTCCTTGAATTAAGTAATACGTTAGCTTAAACTATTGATGCACACACTTGAAATCCCAGCAGTCCAAAGGCTGAGGCTGGAAGGTGGCTGAAATTTCAAGGCCAGCCTGGGCTTCATAACAATAATATCAAGAATACATAAAGTGCTAGCTTCAAACCATTGCCTGTTACACTGTTGTGATTTATAAATAGATATTTTCCTTAGGTGGGCACTGATTATTGAATGGAAAAAGAAAAAAAAAAAGGAAGGACATGACTGCTCTTAGGTATGGTGGAAGAGGAGGTTTATTGTAGATAAAAGGGAGAACATAGCCTGAGGCGATAACATCTGGGAGAGTCCAGAGTGATCATGACCCATGTGAAGAGAGAGGGCCGGGCAGAGGAAC